AGGGCGATACAGTCAACCCGTTTGTCGGGACTCAAATCCCGGACCGAACTACCAGTGTTCAGTTGCTTTTACCTCCTGCTACTGTTAAGTCAAACTGCTTAGCTTTCTGCTTCATATTTTTAGACATTTTGCTTGTTTACCATTCTAAAGTGAATACTGTACTTTTTTTCATTTCAAAACCCTCAAATTTCTTTCTCGCCTTACAGAATTTGTATTAAATTAACCTGCTAATTATTAAATCAGCTGGTATTGAACTGATGAAGAAACGGCTGGCTGCCGGAAATCTCTGTAATGTAATCTCTCCTTAAAAAAAAAATCGCTAACAAATTAAGTGTAATCCCCCGAGTTTCCCTATCATTTTATTGTATAGGTAGTATAATCTCTTTATATAAGAAAAAAAAATATAGCTTATAGCAAACTATCTATAGTTAAGGAAATACAAGATGATCGGCAACGAATTTCTTCAAATTGTCGCATATTCTTGATAGCAGGCAGTAAAAAATTTCCGAATAAAGTTTACTCATTGATAACAAGAGCTCACAACTGTAATGTCGATTGACTTGTCCTTGGCAAGAAGGAAAGCAGATGAGATTGGAAGTTTGAAGCGAGCAAACCCGTTTTGCTATTTTGAGCAACAAGCTACAAATGCATGGAAATCATCAAAGGGTAAAAACAATTTTACTTCGTTTGAATGCGAAACTATATCAGGATATTTGAATAAGGCAAAGCTCATGATAGCTATTTGCCTAAGGGTAAGGATGACATTATGGAGGCCTTTTTAAGAGCAGTCTATTCATATTCGTGTTACACGTGAGAGAAAACTCCGAAAACGCTTATGCAGCCAGCCCGTTTGCTTGGGTTCGAACTAGCATCGGACAGTGAGCACTCTGCCTCTGGTGGGCAAATGCGAAACTAGAAAAATTTGTTTCACACACTTCGTCAACTAAGTTAATGCTAGTTCGATAGAGAGGTTTCCATGACGTTTTTCTATGAATATATTAACACGCAGTGTTTTGACGTTAGTTTAAGCTTTTCTGTACATATTATGGAAGGCAGAAATTATTCAAGGTGTTCTCTTTTTGACAAGAACTCGCCGAAAACTGCAAAGCTACGTTTTCAATCCCTTGGACAATTGAAGACTTGGAAACATGTATTATAATTCTTTCATGTTTTAACACTTTTAAGAAAATAAGTATAGAAAGAGTATTTAATTCGAGCACTGATCTTTTTTTTTCCTAATGCCATATTGCCATATTTTGTTTTGTTTATATTAATCTGAGCTCTTGATCAGAAAGAAATGAAACTTTTAGATTAATAACGTTTCTATGTACAAGAAATAAAAATTTAGATTAGAGCACTGATTGAAACAAAGTATTTTTACATTTACTCTGCATAACAATTAAATTTCCGATATGTGAGTGAAGACAAATGCTCTTGTGTTATCAGAATAAGACTTTTTGAGATATTTCCTGGATATAGTTCATCAGTCTTAAATAAACGCTATCACGTATTTCTCTATTGTAATGAACATCATTTTAATAACTGTTATAAGGATTATTACGATACTCATTAACTAATTTGTTTTAGGTTTTCGACAATATTATTCAATTTGCACGGCATAAGGCCCCATCAGTGCCCGAGTGGTTAAGACTCCTAAATACGGGTTATTCGACCTAGTTTGGGTTCGATCTCGGGCAAACGGGCTGGTTGGCTTTCGTGGTTTTCCCAATGTATAACACTGATACGAGCCATTTTTCTTGAAGTCTTTCACGAAGGCATCTCTCCTCTTCGGCTCATAGCCCTCGTGGTTTTGCAATATTCAGATAACTTAACCTAACCTTGAAAAGTAAATATTCATACTTTACAATTTAAAAAATAATTGTTCATAGTCATAAACGGCGAAGTATCAGCTGATGAAAATTCTGTAATTAAGAAATATATTACTATGAGGAAAAATCGATTTAAAATGTCATTCGCTCTGACCGATTAATACGTTAGTGACATAGTTTTAAACTATGTACTTGAGAATCAACATCTGGTATTTCAAATGAATGTTTTTGAGTAGTGTAAATGAAGATCTAATTTTTTCCCCCTCTCTGAATAAGGATTTCATTCAAATATACCAAAACCTCTCGTGAGGTAGTGAATTAATATGTTGATTCTGTGATATTTATATAGAATTAGTCTTTGATTTTACTGAACAACATACTAATCTGTATGTCGAAGCAGTTTCTCTTGGAAAAGCCTGCAGGAAGGCATCCCTTTTCTTGGGCGGTGATTTCTTGAAGGTTTTCCGTATTTAGATAAACCAAGCCAAACCTTGATTACCTTTTACAGTACCAACCTCCATGAGTACTCCTTTTTAACTCATTTAATACCTAATTTAAAAAAAAAAATGTTTCTTAAAAATCCGGGTTTCACTACTTTTGAGCATGTCTGGAGCAAACACCGAGTCATCTCCATAATGGATGGTCAATAGGGTGGGATTTTACTGCAAGCAATCTTCGGTAGTTCCCGCATAAATTGAAACAAAGCTAGCTTCAATCAGGACTACATCCCTGTAGAGAAATAAACCTTGCATGTTTTCTCTAAATAGGTTATACAAAAACAATGCGTTTGTAAAGCCCTATACCCCTATCGTGAAACCTTATAATGTAATATAATAAACTCACTTGAATAGCTGTCAAAGGGTTATTCCGTCATGTTTGACTCCCAAGTTTCTTTCCAAGTCCTTCGTGACGGTCATTAGCAATATTATGTGTAGCAAAACCGATGGTCTCCTGTACTCTGGCTGGTTGAGCAGTATCATCTCAGTATAACTTTCGACCTTGATATAAGTCTAAAAGGTTTCCAGAGCAGACCAGCATTCCATTCGCGAAGGTCGGGCTTTATGACCTCGCACTTGATAATGTAAATCTAACAAAATAGATGGCGGCATACTAAGCTTGGCTTTTCGCTTGTGAACATATATTGGAGGAAATCGCGTAACTGAAATAAATCTGTGGAAGTAGTGGAAAGGTAAAGTATTTTCCAGACTGTATCACATATCTCATGTTTCGTCACGTTAAAATTTAAATGAGCTACTTTTTGCGTTGATGGTTTTTAGCAACTATTTAGTACGCAAATGGGCTCCAAATACAAGTCCATATGGAACATACCTGCTTGTGACTAACATAGTTTAGAAACAAAAGCACTTAAAATTCTCTCCCCTCAAAAATTCCTCTCGAAAGGTTGTCAGAAAAAGATGCCATCGGGTTTCATCCTACGGGTGGCTCTATAAAAACTGGAATAAAGCTTTTGCTGACAGTCGTCGCGTGCTTTTATTTTAGTAAAGAATTCAATAGTTGATTTGTTTATAGTGAGTAATTAGAGTGAGCTATATAAGAAATAATTATAAATGCTACTAGAAACACTGTTTTGTAGCGACAGTACGTATTTTTTGGAAGCAGGAAAGATGAAAAATGAGCAGCGCCCTCGCCGGGAATCGAACCACGGACCTCTGAAATACGCGCCCAGCGTGCTGAGCACTACACTACCAAGGCATGCTAAGAAGGCGAAAGAAATATCTTAATAGTTTGACTATAGATCTGTGCATTTATTAGAAAGACCTTCCTTATTTTGTTTGACTTTCAGAGCCATTAGCTAAATCTCGGTAGCAAAAAATAAGTTTAGATAGGGTGGAAATATCTCAAATGAGATTTGTATATTCATATAAAACTCGCTTAAGATTTTTTCAAATTTGCAAAAGATTGATTCAGGAGCACGCGAATGTCTGAAAACTATTAAATCTGATTTTACTTGTGAATTCTCGTCTCTTAGACATTGGCACAGTGACACAATTAAAACTCGAACGAAGAGTCGGATCATATTGCGTATTCACTCAGTGCTATAAATGATAAGCTAGCCAGTTTGGTGGCCCATTAGATTTCACGATGATTCTGATCACGGCTTAATGATATCCATTGCGATTTTATTGCATGATGCACTTTTTTTTTAAGTTCCAAACTCTCAGTACTGTATAAAAAAGGCCTTTACGGATATTTAATACTTGAATGTTTCATAGAAATAAAATACCTGTAAAATTTTAATATAGTAAATTTTTATATAGTAAGGATTAGTTACTCAAATTTAGTCTGTTTTAAAATTTGTGTTTCTGGCGAATATCATTGCTGATAAAACTGGTTGTACGAATAACTTTACTTGTTAAAATTGATAGACATTTCAGGAATGAGAGTCTAAAGAAAACATGAAGTTTGTCATATGGTATAAAACGAGAATTAAATACTAGTGAATGTAATACTGATCTACCTATCAACGAAATTAAATATAATGCCGTTGTTTCAAAATAGTCTAAAAATTTAAATGAAGGCAAAATACTCAACTTTTGACTGGCATTCGTTTTAAATATAAGAAATGCTATTGCAACTTAATTTAGGGGGGAAAAAATCTGCAGTTGCAAAGGTGGAAAGAAAATTCAGAATTTTGCGCATATCACTTCAAAATAGCATTTTTCTTTTCTCCTTAAATTTCAATGTCTCGACTATATCTGTATTCGCATATTTTATGAAATCTGGGAATTTTATTTGGATCCAAAGACAGATGACGATCCGTGAGCCTAGTAATTTGATCTTGAACATCAGACGTAACAAATTCTCGCTGGTGGAGTTGGGGAAAGTTAAGCTCTTCGGAGGAAAAAAACTTGGTCAGTCTTGCCCTACATTAAGGGGGGGGGAAAGAACCTGTTCTCCAATTTTCTCTCACGTATGTCCACGTTTTGTGACTGATCTTGAACTGGAAAAGTTAGAGAGGGGGGGATGCAACACGTGTTGTTTTGCGTACTTTGCCGCTAGCCAATAGATATGGAACTAGTCTTGTGTCATCAAAACAGCCACCAATCGGACCGCCGTGCGCAAAGATGGCGCTAGCGGCGCGATTTATCAACAAAACTTTTTCGATAACTGAATGATGAAAATTGTTAAGATTAAATACACAAAGAAAACAAAAACGCCGAAATATGACGGAATTGGCTAGGAAGATATAGAGATCTGCTTCTTTTAACAAGTGATACCTTACTTCAAGGCGGTCATTTTTATTCGAGTGTGTGGTAACATTTGTAAGACTATGGCAATCACAGTGGACAGAGCTAAAATTGGAGTAGTACTGCTGGGCTTAGTAGGTGTACTGCTGTTAGTTATAGGAATTGTAGCCTTATCAATTTTCCCTTCAATATTAAAAGCAAAGATAGAAGAGGTATGTTTTACTTTTCGCTATTTAATTTTTTTATACAAAGTACTGTGCTGTTTGTATTCAAATTTTCTCTTTATGTGAACCTATAAAAGTTTAATAAATTTAAAATTGCAATTATGTAATTTTATTACGTATTTTAAATATGCTGGTCTATAGTGTCTAGTATTTTCACTGTTTTTTTAATAAAACGCATGAAGTTTTAATCTGTACGTTTAGACCGGTCAGTAGCCGGCCAGAGCCGCGAATTCTTTATTGAATAGATTGTTCACTCCGAGTTATATTCCCGAAGAATTGTATGGTTCGCTGAGTTTTTGTTTTTATAATATGGATAATGATTCGTTTCCTCTCAGAAAGTACTCCATAAAGACATTTCTACCCAGAAGCGCTAAGCTGAGCTGCTGTCATTCTTGATGTAAATATTCCGCATTTCTTTACCTTGAATGGTCGCAAATATGGGGTCTTAACTATAAAATTTGCATAACGAACTATTATGAATTTTTTATGAAAACTTTTACTTTTTTCAATGTTTGTTTCATTTCAAATGATCTTAATTTCTTGCTGATTTTATTATACACAATAAATCTAATATTGAGCTTAAGTTGATATTTATAACATTTTAATGCGATTTATGTATATATATATAGAGAGAGAATATTTATTTACTATATTTATTATAAAATATAACATTTTACAAAGCTTCCCCGACTTCTCCAAACTAGATATTTTCACAGTTAAATCTTACATTCCCAAGCTTCCCTATCGACTTAAATCGATTAAGAATCATGTGTCGTCTGCTTACTTTAAATAGGAAGGTGAACACGTCCGATGATTTTTCTTTTCATTTTGAACTTGTAGAGCAAGATCTTGATATTCAGAGCTCGCTAGACGAAATGAGATCGAAAGTTGCCGGTTCGCCCGACATGAAACAATAGCCTGTGGCAAATTTGTGGAAGGAGAAGCTTTGCGTTCTCATTTTTCTTCAAACTAACTCCAATGGTCAAATTTCTTTGACATTTCAATGAATTAATCTTCATGAAATACCAAAACAAATTGAGATTTTAATTCATAAATATGTTTCATATACCGTGTTTACATTTCTTTCTCACTGTTTACTCAAGCAGATTTTGTAAAACTGTTAAAGAAATAATTTGACCCGGATAAAAATTCTTAGGTTTCCAGAGTGTTCAGCTTTAAGTCGGTTATATAAATTACTTCCTTTTCGTGATAATATTCACCGTTTTGCAGCATGTTGCATTTCATGAAGTTGTTTGTCTGTCTTGAAAATTAAGTAAGACTGATCATCATAAGATTATAACTTTACGGTGGGTCGTGGGACATAGAATATTTTTGGAAAAGAACATAGAATATATTCGTAAATTTAAGTTGATCATTGTACACATCAATTTTGAATCGCATTTCTGAAAAATTCCGTTTTATTTAAACAGCTATTTCTTGCATGATAACGTGGCAACGTTAACACATTCGTCGATGCTTTTTCATTATCTGAGATTGCTGAATATCGCATTTAAGAATACAGCACATAAGTTGCCCAAAAGGCACAGATAAATGGCTTATCGAATTTAGATACTTCAGGTTATCTTACTCAAACAATAATATACCGTGTTATTGAAGAATATGCTTAGATGCAACTTTTTTCGGCTCCCAAGGAAATAATCTACGTTTACTATCGGTTCAAAATGTTTGAAATACTCAAGCATCTGAAAGTCGGTTTATAGATTCAACATCCCATGACAAAAAACTAAAACTTCTTTAAATTCATTTTGAATTGAATCATTCGTAAATTTGTCAATTGTGCTTGAAGGCTTTTTATTTTGCAGCATTCCTTTTTTCTTGATGTAATTTTAATTTCTACTTATTATTTGAATTTTCTTTTCCGTCTTCTCATGCTGAAGTGTTATTGAAAAAGGAAACTCTATCCAGAAATTTCTGTTATGTGTGATAATACAGCTAGGAATAATTAAGCCCCATAAGAAATGTAAACGAATAAAGAATTCAAAAGCAATATTGATTTATTTCATCAGCTTCTATTAAAAGGATTAATTTTATACTGCAGGAAGTCTTTGCTAATATTAATTATCCAACTACAGAAGGAATGAGATCACTAAATTCTGGTAGTCGGGACTGATTCGACTCCTTGCGCAACAGTTTAGCTTTTATACTTTGTTATTCTGGCATGCAGCGGGAGATGCACTACTCTTGCTCTTTCCAGATTGCTGAAGGAGTCTCCTTAGGATCCTGAGGTATGTAAACGTCCAAAGATGAAGCTTCTTCAGTTGAGATAGCCTTGTTAAAGAAAAATACAGTTTAGCTGTATGTGTATTTTCCTAATAAAGCTGATGCTATATAAATAAAAGCCATTCCCTATATAGTCCTGTGCGAATGAATCTCATCTTTAGTGCTTTGCCGTAAAACGCTACTTAAATTCTAAAGGAGGATAAGGAAGTGATTACAGCTCATTTATTCATTATTTCTCGAACCATCTATTCGGCAAAACTTCAAGTTCATGATACAAATACTTCTTCTGTGTGCGTGTTTTAATAAATCAAGAGGTGGACAAGAAAACTGGATAGAAAGATACAGCAGTACAGCTTAATGTGTCACATTTAGAATACTAAACAGCGCATTTTCAAGGCTTTCTGATAACACCAATGACGTCTAGACTATGATCAGCATAAAAAATCTGAAATTCAAACCCGGTTTCTTTAGAAAATTTGGTGAATTTGGACACAAAGAGTACTTGTAAATCTGTTTTGCTAAAATTATCAAGAGGTAGTATTATGGAAAATAATTTAACATATGAAACTAAGCCTTTAGGTTAAAAATGAATTGAATTACCGCGTTAAAATAAAAATTTCTGAAAAAGGTTACTTAAGTTGATCGCATTTAACAAGAATTATTAGGATAAGGTTGATAATCAGGGGCATATGTAACAAAAATTTAAACGAATTAAGTTATGTCTTGGTAGTTAATTCAGAAATCATTTCGTCATCATAAAAATGCAGGTGCAATTAAATAGGCGGTTTCCCCTTCATATTTAAACAAAGTTTAAACCATTAAGAATCTGGAATGTTAGGAAATTTGTTTTTTTTTTTTTTCGAGGGAATGCTTATTTTAAGAAGAAATGTTTTGAGTGTGAAAAGCACCCATAAACACTGGCCATGAACCTTTTCCTAAATTTTGGATTTTATTGCAGTTCAAGTAATATTACAGTTTCAAGTCTCTATCAGATGTCATCTGTTTCTAATCTTACTGATTCAAAAATTATTTAAGTTAAGCTCGTAATTCGTTCCCATTATTTCATGAAAATATGTAAAAGACAGATGAAGTCGTGAAAAGTTTTCTTGGGGGAAGCAGTTGAGATTGCATTCACTTGCATTAAAAAATTATATTTGTTCTTGAATTAATTTATGGTATATTTCCAAAAATTATTCAGTTCGTTTATTCATATTCATATAACTGATCATATCTCGTAAAACCTGTGTATCTAACGCTGGATCCCCGTCATGAACTAGTCACTATAATGAATTTCTATTTCCAAACAAAATCTTTTCCAGAATAATATTGCTATAGTGATTTAACACCTCACTAAGCGTTGGAGTAATTTTGATATGCTTTTCAGTAATGATTTCGCTTGTTTTCTCATATTTCTGTTGGAAAGCGTAAGTAAAGATCGATTGGGGCATCCTTTGTGATTTCCTTTCGTATACTTTAGTAGACATATCATGAATGAAATCGATTGCGGCTTAAAATATACATATTGCTCTAAGTAATTTTTAAGCCACTTTCTGTGTGAAGATTTGTTTATAGCTCAGTTTCTGGATAATGAATGTGAGAAGCTATAATACTGTAGCGTTTTCCCCGCTGGCATTAAGTGAAAAAAAACGTCATCTTGAAAATAGACTTCCAAAACGTCGTAAAATGAGCTAAGTAAATCCTCCATGTTCTTGATTTACGAGATTCTAAAGGTATGTATACAATAAAACTAACACTGTGTTAAGGTGTTCTTTAAGTTCCAGGTATAAAGCTGTAAAGCCAATGCGTACAGTATCTTTCAGATGTTAGTTGAAATAGAAAAACTTTACTAATATGAAATCAAATTAGAGGGACTAACTTGCTTTAGTATTAAATAAATTGATATTAGTATCCTTGTACTTTGTACGCTTGTAATATTTGTAAGCAAGTGTACCCAAATAAGGGAGCTGTAATTTATCTAAAATAATCAAAATGAATTTGCTGGAGTAATCCGTTACCCGTGATAAGAGCCGAGCAAATCTGGACAGACACGAGGAACCACGATTGAATCAAATTTGAGAGATTATTCCATTAGTTGACAGAAATGGGTTAAGCTTCTTTGCTTTCAGATCGCCAGTTATGAGGTTTCATTACTGATTTGAGACAGCAAAATTAAAACTAGAGCAACTTCATGTACATTATATACATTTTTACAACTTTATTAAATTACGTAATTACGTAAATTCACTTTTATACATAAGTATTCTTTTATGCACGATGCGTAATTTTAAATTAGTAATGTGATTTCATTTCAATGCAACAATGAAATATATATCATTCGTGACATCAGAGTTTTTTTTTATTATTATTATTTCCGATTCTGTTTGAGGAAATTCCACTGACCTACGTTTTCTTGACCCTGATAACTTACTTGACACCGTATTTCTGCAAGCCACATGTTTTTAGGGGACAACATACAAGCATAACACGATAAGCTACATTACGGGAGGAGAGTTTGCGGTCTTTCCGAAGTATTGCGTGATTATTTCTTTCCCGTTACAACCTGCCCAGATTCACTTTCTCCTTTTACACATAGTCTCGTGGGTATTAAAGTTCAGACAACTCATAATCATGCTATTAGTTTAAGGTCATTTACGTTGTTGGAATTTTTAAAAACAAAACTTCAGAAACCTGTTTCGTGCAATTGAAAGGTCATTACTTTGCCATACTTGATTATTGATCAATGATAG